GTGGAATCCTGGGTGTTAGTGGACTGGTGTGGGTGGCATCCTGGTGTTTAGTGGACTGGTGTGGGTGGCATCCTGGGTGTTAGTGGACTGGTGAGGGTGGCATCCTGGGAGTTAGTGGACTGGTGTAGGTGGCATCCTGGGTGTTAGTGGACTGGTGTGGGTGCGTCCTGGTGTTAGTGGACTGGTGTGGGTCACATCCTGGGTGTTTTGGACTGGGTGGGTGGCATATTGGGTGTTAGTGAACTGGTGTGGTGGCATCCTGCGTGTTAGTGGACTGGTGTGGGTGCATCCTGGGTGTTAGTGGACTGTTGTAGGTGGCATCCTGGGTGTTAGTGGATTGGGTGGGGTGGCATCCTGGGTGTTAGTGGACTGTGTGGGTCACATCCTGGGTGCTAGTGGACTGGTGTGGGTCACATCCTGGTGTTAGTGGACTGGTGTGGGTCACATCCTGGGTGTTAGTGGACTGGTGGGGTCACATCCTGGTGTTAGTGGACTGGTGTGGGTCACATCCTGGGTGTTAGTGGACTGGTGTGGGTGGCATCCTGGGTGTTAGAGGACTGTTGTGGGTGGCATCCTGGGTGTTAGTGGACTGGTGTGGGTCACATCCTGGGTGTTAGTGGACTGGTGTGGGTCACATCCTGGGTGTTAGTGGACTGGTGTGGGTGCATCCTGGGTGTTAGAGGACTGTTGTGGGTGGCATCCTGGTGTATAGTGGACTGGTGTGGGTCACATCCTGGGTGTTAGTGGACTGGTGTGGGTCACATCCTGGGTGATAGTGGACTGGTGTGGGTCACATCCTGGGTGTTAGTGGACTGGTGTGGGTCACATCCTGGGTGTTAGTGGACTGGTGTGGGTCACATCCTGGGTGTTAGTGGACTGGTGTGGGTGGCATCCTGGGTGTTAGAGGACTGTTGTGGGTGGCATCCTGGGTGTTAGTGGACTGGTGTGGGTCACATCCTGGGTGTTAGTGGACTGGTGTGGGTCACATCCTGGGTGTTAGTGGACTGGTGTGGGTCACATCCTGGGTTTAGTGGACTGGTGTGGGTCACATCCTGGGTGTTAGTGGACTGGTGTGGGTCACATCCTGGGTGTTAGTGGACTGGTGTGGGTCACATCCTGGGTGTTAGTGACTGGTGTGGGTCACATCCTGGGTGTTAGGTGACTGGTGTGGGTCACATCCTGGGTGTTAGTGGACTGGTGTGGGTCACATCCTGGGTGTTAGTGGACTGGTGTGGGTGGCATCCTGGGTGTTAGAGGACTGTTGTGGGTGGCATCCTGGGTGTTAGTGGACTGGTGTGGTCACATCCTGGGTGTTAGTGGACTGGTGTGGGGTCACATCCTGGGTGTTAGTGGACTGGTGTGGGTCACATCCTGGTGTTAGTGGACTGGTGTGGGTCACATCCTGGGTGTTAGTGGACTGGTGTGGGTCACATCCTGGGTGTTAGTGGACTGGTGTGGGTCACATCCTGGTGTTAGTGGACTGGTGTGGGTCACATCCTGGGTGTTAGTGGACTGGTGTGGGTCACATCCTGGGTGTTAGTGGACTGGTGTGGGTCACATCCTGGGTGTTAGTGACTGGGTGGGTCACATCCTGGGTGTTAGTGGACTGGTTGTGGGTCACATCCTGGTGTTAGTAGACTGGTGTGGGTCACATCCTGGTGTTAGTGGACTGGTGTGGTCACATCCTGGGTGTTAGTAGACTGGTGTGGTCACATCCTGGGTGTTAGTGGACTGGTGTGGGTTAAATCCTGGGACAAAACTGACATAAATTTGCGGGAAATGCTCAGCATACCAAGGTACTTTCTATATAGTAGTATGTCATGGGTGTCAACTATGGTCTGTATACTTGTACATGTATACCTTGTACATGTATACCTTGTACATGTATACCTGTACATGTAACCTGTACATGTATACCTAGTACGTGTATACCTTGTACATGTATACTAGAACATGTGTACCTGTACATTATAACCTTGTACATGTATACCTAGTACGTGTATACCTTGTACATGTATAACCTTGACATGTATACCTAGTCGGTGTATCAACCTTGTACATGTATAAACCTAGTACATGTGTACCTTGTACATGTATACCTTGTACATGTATACCTTGTACATGTTTACCTTGTACATGTATACCTTGTACATGTTTACCTTGTACATGTATACCTTGTACATGTATACCTTGTACATGTATACCTTGTACATGTTTACCTTGTACATGTATCCTTGTACATGTTTACCTTGTACATGTATACCTTGTACATGTATACCTTGTACATGTATACCTTGTACATGTTTACCTGTACATGTATACCTTGTACATGTATACCATGTACATGTATACCTTGTACATGTATACCTTGTACATGTTTACCTTGTACATGTATACCTTGTACATGTATACCATGTACATGTATACCTTGTACATGTATACCTTGTACATGTATACCTTGTACATGTATACCTTGTACATGTTTACCTTGTACATGTATACCTTGTACATGTTTACCTTGTACATGTATACCTTGTACATGTTTACCTTGTACATGTATACCTTGTACATGTATACCTTGTACAATGTATACCTTGTACATGTATACCTTGTACATGTATACCATGTACATGTATACCATGTACATGTATACCTTGTACATGTATACCTTGTACATGTATACCTTGTACATGTATACCATGTACATGTATACCTTGTACATGTATACCTTGTACATGTATACCATGTACATGTATACCTTGTACATGTACCATGTACATGTATACCATGTACATGTATACCATGTACATGTATACCTTGTACATGTATACCTTGTACATGTATACCATGTACATGTATACCATGTACATGTATACCTTGTACCTGAAACCATGTACATGTATACCATGTACATGTATACCTTGTACATGTATACCATGTACATGTATACCATGTACATGTATACCTTGTACATGTATACCTTGTACATGTATACCATTGTACATGTATACCTTGTAGATGTATACCTTGTACATGTATACCTTGTACATGTATACCTTGTACATGTATACCTTGTACATGTACCATTGTCATATACCATGTACTGATACCATGTACATGTATACCTTGTACATGTATACTGTACATGTATACCATGTACATGTATACCTTGTACATGTATACCATGTACATGTATACCATGTACATGTATACCTTGTACATGTATACCTTGTACATGTATACCATGTACATGTATACCTTGTACATGTATACCATGTACATGTATACCATGTACATGTATACCTTGTACATGTATACCTTGTACATGTATACCTTGTACATGTATACCTTGTAGATGTATACCTTGTACATGTATACCTTGTACATGTATACCTTGTACATGTATACCTTGTACATGTATACCTTGTACATGTATAACCATGTACATGTATACCATGTACATGTATACCTTACATGTATACCTTGTACATGTATACCATGTACATGTATACCTTGTACATGTATACCATGTACATGTATACCATGTACATGTATACCTTGTACATGTATACCTTGTACATGTATACCATGTACATGTATACCTTGTACATGTATACCATGTACATGTATACCATGTACATGTATACCTTGTACATGTATACCTTGTACATGTATACCTTGTACATGTATACCTTGTAGATGTATACCTTGTACATGTATACCTTGTACATGTATACCTTGTACATGTATACCTTGTACATGTATACCTTGTACATGTATACCATGTACATGTATACCATGTACATGTATACCTTGTACATGTATACCTTGTACATGTATACCATGTACATGTATACCTTGTACATGTATACCATGTACATGTATACCATGTACATGTATACCTTGTACATGTATACCTTGTACATGTATACCATGTACATGTATACCATGTACATGTATACCATGTACTGTATACCATGTACATGTATACCATGTACATGTATACCTTGTACATGTTAACATGTACATTATACCTGTACATGTATACCATGTACATGTATACCTTGTACATGTATACCTTGTACCTGTATACCTTGTACATGTATACCTTGTATATGTATACCATGTATATGTATACCTTGTATATGTATACCATGTACATGTATACCTTGTACATGTATACCATGTACATGTATACCTTGTACATGTATACCTTGTACATGTATACCTTGTACATGTATACCTTGTACATGTATACCTTGTATATGTATACCATGTACATGTATACCTTGTACCTGTATACCATGTACATGTATACCTTGTACATGTATACCTTGTACATGTATACCTTGTATATGTACACCATGTATATGTATACCATGTACATGTATACCTTGTACCTGTATGCCTTGTACCTGTATACCTTGTACATGTATACCTCGTACATGTATACCTTGTACATGTTTACCTTGTATATGTATACCATGTACATGTATACCTTGCACATGTATACTTGTACATGTATACCTTGTACTTGTATACCTTGTACATGTATACGTTGTACATGTATACCATGTACACCTTGTACATGTATACCTTGTACATGTATACCATGTACACCTTGTACATGTATACCTTGTACATGTATACCATGTACATGTATACCTTGTACATGTATACCTTGTACATGTATACTACCTTATACATGTATACTACCTTGTACATGTATACTACCTTGCACATGTATACTACCTTGTACTTGTATACCTTGTACATGTATACCTTCTACATGTATACCGTGTACTTGTATGCCTTGTACATGTACGCTTTGTACATGTATACCTTGTACATGTATACTACCTTGTATATGTATACCTTGTACATGTACTGGTAGTAAATAAAGATGATGTAGGTGGTGGTGGTGAGAGAAATTGATTGAGACAAATAAGTGTCGTCTCGGGGAAGACGACAACTCCAGTAATAAGGGAGTAATAACTTACCTTCTCCGCTGAACAAATCACCTTAGCTCGTTAATCCCGTTATGTTATTGCTTGCACTTTCAACGTACACGTATATCTAACATTATAATACCAATAACACTGTCAAAAATAACGTGAGGTCAATGTTTTCCTAGTTATAACACAGTCCACCAAGAACTACCAGCGGCGTAGCAAGATTCTTGCCAAGGTGTAACCCAGATATTTTTCTCTGTTTATTCCCTTCATATTTGACTAAAAACAACATCCCACGTACTCTAGCAATACTCTAATATATAACAACTTCACTTCCCACCATCTGTAGAGAAGAAAACACAGCCGTAGAGCTGAAATAAACATGGGAAATAAGCGAGGTTGTAGCCGTGTCGTGGCTGAGCCAATGGGAATTCAGACAAACGTATTGTGTATTTCTCAGGAAGACGTTATCGTCTACGTTTTGCGTTTTATTTGTATTATATTCGCATTAAACGTTCCCTCCGATGGAGGAGGTTTGTTGTAGGTGAAGGGTTCTTTTACCGAGGAAATGGAGTTGCCTTCCTGGGACTAAGCCTCCAATTGCTAGGCGCTGTACGACCCTCACAGTCGTTTAGTTTAAGATGTTTATTATGCACCCCATACCCATCCTGAGGGCGGTAGTCACCACATACCCATCCTGTGGGCGGTAGTCACCACATACCCATCCTGTGGGCGGTAGTCACCACATACCCATCCTGTGGGTGGGAGTCACCCCCCCTACCCTACCTTTGGGGGGTAGTCCCCCCCCATACCCATCCTGTGGGGGGTAGCACCCCCAAAAACCCCCCCGTGGGCGGGAGTCACCACATAAACCCCTCCTGTGGGGGGTTTGTCCAAACCCCAAAAACCCAAACCTTTTGGGCGGGATTTACCAAAAATACCCATCCTGTTGGGGGGTAGCCAACCCCCTACCCATCCGGGGGGCGGGAGTTTTCCCCCATAAACCCCTTTCCCTTTGGGGGTAGTCACCACATACCCATCCTTGGGCGGGGAGTCCCCCCCCATACCCTTCCGTGGGCGGTAGTCACCCCCTACCCATTCTGTGGGGGTAGTCACCAAAATAAACCCCTCCCCGTGGGGGGTAGTTTACCACTACCCACCTTTGGGCGGGAGTTCCCCCCACAAAAAACCCATCCTGTGGGCGGTAGTCACCCCAAAACCCATTTCCTGGGGCCCGGGATCACCCCAAAAAAAACCCCAAGCGTGGGTGGTAGTCACCAAATACCCATCCTGGGGGGCGGTATCCCCCACATACCCATTTCCGGGGGGGGTAGTCACCACCCCTAAACCCCTCCTGTTTGGGGGTAGTCACCCCATACCCATCCTGTGGGCGGTAGTCACCACATCCCATCCTGTGGGGGGTAGTCACCCCAAACCCTCCTGTGGGGGGTATCCCCCCACATACCCTCCTGTGGGGGGAGTCCAAAAACCCAAAAACCCCTCCTGTGGGCGGGATCACCCCCTACCCATGCGTGGGTGGTAGTCACCCATAAACCCCCCCTGTGGGCGGGAGTCACCACATTTCCCCTCCTGGGGCGGTAGTCACCACATACCCATTTCCCGGGGCGGTAAATCACCCCAAACCCTCCTGTGGGCGGTAGTCACCCCAAAACCCATGTGTGGGTGGGGAGTCCCACATACCCATCCTTTTGGGCGGTATCCCCCACTACCCATCCCCGTGGGCGGTAGTTTCCCCCCATACCCATCCTGTGGGCCCGGGAGTCACCCCCATACCCAACCTGTGGGCGGGAGTTTACCACAAAAACCCATCCTGGGGCGGTAGTCACCCCATAAACCCATCCTGTGGGCGTAATCACCACATACCCATCCGGGGCGGTTTGTCACCCCATACCCATTTCCCGTGGGCGGGGAGTCACCACATACCCATCCCGTGGGTTTTAGTTTACCACATACCCATCCCCGTGGGGGGGTTTGTCACCCCATACCCATCCGTGGGGGATCACCCCATACCCATCCTGTGGGCGGAGTCACCCAAAAACCCCCTCCTGTGGGTGGTATTTAAATAAAAAACCCATTTCCCGTGGGGTTTTTTAAATCAACCCACATACCCATCCTGTGGGTGGGAGCACAAAATAAACCCCTCCTGTGGGCGGTAGTCACCACATACCCATCCGTGGGGGGTAGCAAACCCCATAAACCCCTTTTCCCGTGGGTGGTAGTCACCACATAAACCCCTCCCCGTGGGTGGTGTCACCCCCAAAAACCCTCCTTTGGGGGTTTTGTCCCCCCATACCCATTTCCCGTGGGCCGGGGAATCAAACCCCATCCCCTCCTGTGGGTTGGTTTGTCACTCTACCCATCCTGTGGGTGGTAGTCACCACATCCCCCTCCTGTTGGGGGGTAAATCCCCTAAATACCCATCCTGTGGGGGAGTCACCCACATACCCATCCCGTGGGCGGGAGTCACCACATACCCATCCTGTGGCGGGGATCCCCCCCATACCCATCCGGGGGGTGGTTTGTCCCC